AGTCCTGTACTAGAGTTATGTTTGGAATAGGGAAGCCACTTGCGTACTGATGAGGCAGCGCAGCAGGAAGAAAAGGATTTCTGAGGTCACATGCAGAGAAAGAGGCAAGCTTGCAGCCAGATTGTTGGCAAGCTTCCTCCAGAGGAAACAAACCCCCACCAAGTTCAAATTATGGTTCAGATAAATACTCCTAGGATTCCAGCCCAAGTAAGGGAGCACCACCATTCCTATGTTGGCAGCCTCTATTTCAAACAGATAGCTCCCCCCCCCCTTTCTCATTCTCTGCCCTTTTATTCTGGGTGTTGAAAAAAACAGTCCCATCCACTCACAAAAGACCCAGTCACTATTGCCTCCAAGCAACTCTGTGCATCATCTGGGGATCTCCCAGCAGAGCAATCCACCAAACTTAATTAAGAGAATTAAAACCCTTTACATCTACTTGTCACCAAATGAACATGCCAAGGATTTCAATAATACATCTTCTCAGAAGCATAAAGAAAGGGACTGGTAGATTCCTCCAACTTTGTTTCCCTCCTCTCCCACCAAATGTCTACAACTGGCAGGAAAACAGCTACAATCATTCCCCTTAACATGGCCTGGGCCGGGAAAAGAAGTGAGTTTTGACAGACAGCTTAACAGGTGGATTAACAATCTGTCAGAGCTTACTCTGGTTTAGGGCAAGTGTTTTGCCCAAGTGCCTTCAGAATATACTGCTATTCTGAATGGTGCTATTCCAGGATGACTCTATTACAGAACAATGCTAAACCATGTTAAAAAAAAAAAAGGCCTGTGATCAGCTGATATCAACTAATAGTTGGGCTCTCTCTGAACTCAACCATACAAAGTATTTGCACCAATCCTGAGCAAGAATTTAGTGCTTTCCCAAAGAGTAGTAAATTAATGTTCAAAAACAGCCTGAACAACAGTGTAGTTGTGCCATGAAGGAACAGAGAGAAAGCCAGCTTTTATATCCTAGTTCAGCATGCAGTGTTCTGCAACCATGACTGGACATCTCCTGTTCAGGCCATCTAGGTCTCCAAGGATCAGCTCAGAGATCTGAGTGGGAGAGGAGAGGGCCTTGGCCCTGGAAGAAGAAGAGAAGAGATGCTCAGGGGCCAGAGGGAAAAGGGTGCACCATTCTAAAGTAACCAACAGATGGTAGGCTGATCCCACTCCCTAAGTCACCTGTTGTAGCACCAACCCAATAGCCAGTGAAACACATCTGATTGAACTCATGGCAAAACTGTTGTGGCTTGTTGCCTGCTTAAAAGGGAAAACACTACTTGGACACCAGAATAGCTGAGGATGATTTTAAACTGCATTAGGCGTGCATTGGGGATAAGATGACGGCAATGCTACGAGGCTAGGGTGGGGGGAGAAAAAAGAGGCAGCCAGGGCATAGTTGAGCTGTGGCCAGATGCCAGAGGGGAAGGAACCACAGCTATGGGTAATGCAACAGCATCATCCATGCACTGTCCAACTCTCAAGCTTGGGACAGCATCAAATTCATCAGAAAATTGGTATATGTGTATAAGTGTATATGCACATGTGTGCTAGTACATTTGGCAGGAGGGAGAGAGAACTGGGATGCATTTGCATATGCTCTAGCATACATCTCACTCATCTGGTCAGTCAGTCCGTCAGTCCACCATTCCATCAGTGTCTGTCTGTCTGTCTGTCTGTCTGTCTCCTCCCCCACCCCCCCACATACTACAGCCATATCCCAAGGAGAGGCTCATGTGGCATTGGGCCAGTGTAGCTTTACTAACAAAAATGGACCATATTTACAAGGGAAGAACTGAGTAGGTAATTTCACACCTCCTTAATTGTGTGTGTGGGTTATATGGTACACAGTGAAATCAGCTAGGCAAATATTCTTTGCCATTGTGTGCAGCCTTGTACTTTGTGCAGCTCAGATGGGCTGGGAGACGCAAAGAGTGTAACAATGTACTGCAATAGTTGTGAGCACATAGCACAGAGTCACTCAATTTGTATATTTTAAAAAATTAAAGCCTCAAGAAACCATTGTCATTTGAAAGCTAGGTCATTAATCATCTCAGTGTGTCGTATAATTGGAAAAAAAAAACACTGAATCTGCAGAAACCATCTTCATTTTACTTTATATTTTGCCTCTGGGTAACTCTTTCAATGTTTTATTTATAGGACTGGAGTTAGTTAATTTGTATTGCACAGAATTTGAGGGGGAACTCTTCTGCAACCCTTTGGGTTATACAGGAACCCATTTCAACAAGCTAATGAGCTTGGGTGGCGCACTGTCGTGAACATTAAATTACAGTAGCAGGGAGGCTGCTGTGATAACTACTTTTCTCACCCTCTTGGGCATCCAAAGTATAACCTAAATGTGTCACTCGCTTATTCTTTTCATGCAAATCTATTACTTGCTGCAGCATGAAAGGGGAACTAATATAAAATCCTCTAATACGCCCTGAATCTTGTTGCTTTCCTCACAAATTTGTTGTTCTTCCAGCCCCTTGCGTAATTATCAAAAGGAGATTTTTTTTCTCCCAATTGACACACATAAAAGTTAGACTGCATTTCTTGGTATATGGATTATGGTTTTGGATTTACTTCAAGTAGAATGATATATGCTGTGATGTTTTTAGATATCAATGTTTGACTCATGCTCATAGTACATTAGTGATACTATAGTACTAGCTGCACGAACAGTTATTAAATGGTTTGTGCTCATCTCATGAAAAAGGATGGTAGACTGATTCTTTCAAGAAGACTAAATTATATGTCTACCTGGGATCTTCATTGCTGGGTATGCCGATAACATCAGTACAGCACTTATGGGCCAAAGAGCCTTGCTTGTTGCCATAGCTTTTACAGAAGCACATTATCCTAGCCCAGGAAATGAAAATTATGGCAGTGACATCTCCCAAGGTCCACAGTGTTACACAAGAAGATGTTTCAGCAGCTAGAATCTCTGAAGCACAGTGATATTCCTCCCTGCTAACTTACTCAATTCAGATTGAGCCAAACACTGGTTTATCTAGACTGATGTGACACAAAAGCCCATCAATTCCTTTTCCAGTGCTAGTTATGGCACTGACCCTGTTACTAGGGTGAAGCAAATCTAATATAGAATTCTGTAGTTGTTTCTCTCTGTTGCCACTACATAGCAGGCCTTCTAGATCTAACATGGAAAAAAGTAGATTAGTTCCACTGCTGTTGTGATATCAAATCTGAAAGCACAAATTGCATTTTTTTTGGTTTTTTTTAAGAACTTCAGAGAACTGCTTTCAGGGGTAGATTGAGCCCATTGGAATTGGTGGGGCAAAAGCAGAATGACAAATGGTAAATGAAACTAGAGATCATTTCCCCACTTGTGACTTAGGGTCTTCTAGAGTCATCCAACTATTGATGCTTCAACATAACAAGAGAAAAGAGTAATGAGAAAAACCTGTATGTCACTTCAGCAATGGAAGGATGACGCTATGAAGATGCTTTTAATTCACTAATGGGAAAATGGTCAATGGTAGACACAGCATATTAATTCTTGTTGTGCCTTCTAGCCTTTTCTGTTGTAATGACATCAAGAACCCTTAGTGTACAGCTTTAGCAAATTATAACGATAGGACTAAAAGAAAGATTAATATCATATTTAGCCTGCAGGTTCAGCAATTTTCACAATGCTGCAAAAACATGTATTCAATACAGGGATCTCTCATGTTTGAGAATATATATGTGGTCATGTTAATCATCATTTCCTACTCCATGTACCATACTTTTGAAATTTTTCAGAATTATCTACTTAGGGGTACCATTATGATATAACATATAAACTGTCAGTAAAACTACCTTTTTTGATCTTATTCCCAAAATTACCTTTCATGATCCTTAAGGAGGAAACTTCTGAACATATCCTTTCTGATATTGCATGTTTCTTCCTTAGGAACATCTCTAGGAGGGATATTACCAACTTGAAGTCTGAACAAGCTACTAGGACATATAAAGCTCTGCACTGATCAATCTGAAACACTTTCTCAGAAGATGCAAAACAATAATACTTGCAAATTCTCCAGTTCCGCCAAAAAGTAAAACAAGTTACCAACACTTTCCTTTTAAAAAAAAAAAAAAAAAATTTAAAGGCTACTTGCATAAAAATGCCTGCACCAAATTCCCTGAAAACTAGCTGTGGGATTCATCTCTTCAAAATGGTAATAGGATTACAAATTTCAAATAATACTACCAATCTCCCTCCCAAAAACTTAAACTATACTAATTTCTTGATTTCCTGATTTAATTCTTCCCTTTTCTCAGTCACTTTCCACTTCAGATTCCGTTCAGCTGCAGAGTTTCATTTTCAATCAGTTTTCTTCCTTCTCCCACAGTTCTCTCTCTACCTCCTGCCAGCCCTAGGCCTTCCATTTTAAATACATTTTTCAAATATCATCCTGAATTATGCTTGCTCTTATTTCTCATGGAAAATTGGCTGCTTTGAGCTCCAACAATCAGAGCCAATAATATCACACAAATGGAGTAAAAGGATTAGGGGCATCATACAGAAAGGCCATCCAAATGGCAAACAGCTGTGACTTGATGGGTTTCCTTGACTCAATCAAGGCAGAATCAAAGAACATCCCTTCCCTATGACTTTCAAGAAAATGGGAAGAGTGGGGAAAGAAAGAGAGAAATGGAGATGATGTACATACAGTGGAGATATAGGAATGCCCAAACAAACAAATATATGAGGACTGACTATTTATGCAGAAGGTCTGAGAAGGAATTCTAAGCAGGAAAAGCAGGATGGCATTTGGAAAACCCCCAGATTTAAGTTGGTTTGCTGCTGGAATGTTTTTGACCTTCTGGTTTACAAAGAGAAGCTTTTACTGGGTGTTCTGTTTCTGTCATGCTTTCAAGCATGTTGTTCTTCTATGAGGTGCTAACAGCTATTCAAATAGTCAAGAATAAGTTCAGGCAGCTGTTTGAATCTCACAGGCTAAGGAAGGAATCCAAGTGGTTTTTATACTTACCTTTGGGACCATGCCCCATGAGCTCTTGAATTCAAGGCGTATTCCAGTTCAAAACGGCTACGCAAAGCAGCAACATGGCTGCGCCCAGGGCATCCCCTAGTGACTAGGCAGTCAGATGAGGAGGATGGGGACAGGGAACCACTGCTGTTACTGGAGGCTGGTGACATCAGCTGGATTTAAGGAAGAGAATATCATCAGTACCTATTTATGACAACCCCACAGTCTGATAAGAAAGGCTGATAGCCCTCGTATGTGTCACAAGTGCTTTTGCTAATGTCCTCAGCTATTTCCACTTATGGTGTCATGCTAGTTTCTGATTGTCCAGCAGAGGAGAGTCATCGTAATCTGGGCCTGGGAGAAACTTTCTGCTGTATTTTTTTGTCCAGGGGATTAAGTCCTCTATAACATGTTTTGAGTGAAAATCAGCCTTCTCTGATTGCCTGTTAGAAAATGTATGGTTTCTTTGTGATGGACTTAACAGTATTGCTATATTTATTACTGTAATGAGGTCATTTTATCTATATGCACCTAATATTATCTTACAGCAATGCATTTAAAAACAATGACTGTAGTTTTTTGGATAGCTGGAAAGTATATGACATATGCATTACACAGAAGGGGGTGGTAAATCATGAGAATAGGCACTATAAAAATGTTGGTAAATAAATAAATAAATAAATAGAGCTGCAACTTTCGCATGCTTAATGCTAATACTAGCATGTCCTATGAAGTATTTTCTGTGGGAAGGAGGAAATGTAATTATTATTTTTTAAATTTTTGCAATCTAGCAACTCAATTGCATGTAAAGATAATCAGAATGAAAGAAATTCTCAATTTAACAGAATAATGGGAGGGGTATCCATTAAATCTAAATGTCTGATAAATTGGAAGAGAATTTGACGCATGTGTAAAATGATGCAATGCATAGTAAAGTGGGAAATGGGATTTTACTCATGTATAAAACAACATTAGGCATATGTATTATACCTGAGAAAGGAAATCCTCTAGGTAGTGTAGCACTCAGTGGAAGAAATGTATGCATATACATATACAAATATATACATACATATACATATACATATACGCACACAAACACATATATATTTACTTATTAATAATTTTTAAAATAAGAAAAGAGCATGCAAAAGGAAAAAAGGAAAAAGGGAAACATAGTAGATACAGAAATATAATATCAACAAGTAGACAAAGAAACTACTGAGATTGCATAGTTAGTGCTCAGTAATCATGAGAAATCAACCATAAAAAATATATTAAGTTGTTTTAACAATGTGAGAAAGGATTTGTATCTCTGAGCTGAGTGCCAAGATCTCCACTCTTATTTAATAATAGAAAGAAAGAAAGAAAGAAAGAAAGAAAGAAAGAAAGAAAGAAAGAGAGAAAGAGAGAGGGAGAGAGAGAGAGAGAGAGGGAGAGAGAGAAAGAAAGAAAGAA